AGTTCTGTGGCACCTGCACAGCTCCTCTGGAAAGGAAAAACGTTCAGTTTATTGCGAAGGTTTTGTCAGAGCCCAGAAATGGGCGCTTGGGCCTGGTGCTCTGCATCCCCCTGAGATTGAACAGGATGAAAATCCCTCCTGCTTCCAACTACAGTTCAATCCCACCAAAGAGCCATCTCTGAGATCAAAACAAGAACCAGCTTCTCAATTTCCAGCAAAGCCACCAACCCCAGTGACAAAGCAAGAAAAAAGCTTTACAGACATCCCTCAGGAATGAGAAATGGGAGAAAATGGGAAAGAGGCTTTCTGGGTGAGGAGCAGAWGGGAGGAACCAAATCCCAGAGAAGAAAATCTCACTCTGGGATTGACACCAAGGACTGAAAGGACATTTCTGAAGAGCTGAGTTGGCCAAAACAGCCAGAATTGGGGTACAGTTGGTGCTCCAGGCCTGGGGTCGCATTTTCACACAGCARTTTCTGACAGTCATTGCTTTGGGATTAGTTCTCAATTTTTTGGGCAGGAAATCTGTGCCCAGGCTGCAAAATCCTGGTGCTCTGAGGATTCACTCTGAGCTGCAGTGAATCACCCGGAGTTTGGTGCTTCCCCTGCACTCAGTTTTCATGGAATTGTGGAATATCCTCATTTGGGAGAGACCCTCAAGGATCCCTGAATCCAACCCCTGGCCCTGCACAGGACACCCCCAGGAACCCTTCCACACTTCTGGATTTTTCTGGTTGTTCAATCACAGCCTGATTTTTCCGAATGTTCCATCACAGCCTGATTTTTCTGGCTGTTCCATCACAGTCTGATTTTTCTGGCTGTTCCATCACACTCTGATTTTTCTGCTTGTTCAATCACAGCCTGATTTTTCTGGCTGTCCAATCACAGCCTGATATTTTTGGCTGTTCAATTACAGCCTGATATTTTTGGCTGTTCAATTACAGCCTGATTTTTCTGGTTTTTCAATCACGGTGTTTTTTTTCTGGTTTTTCAATCACAGTCTCATTTTTCTGGCTGTTCCATCACTGCCTGATTTTTCTGGCTGTTCAATCACAGCCTGATTTTTCTGGCTGTTCCATCACAGCCTGATTTTTCTGGTTGTTCCATCACATCACAGCCTGATTTTTCTGATTGTTCCATTGTTCTGATCCATGCCCTGCCAAGGGTGGCGAGCGCCGCATTCCCCGGCTGGCGTGGAAGGGGCAGGATCTGATGTTCCCTCAGCTGGAACACGGAAGGAAAAAAAGCATCAGATTTCCCGGGACCGTGGTCCCATCCCCTCCAGCAGCTGATCCCGTGGCTCCCCTCCTCCTCTGGATATATAAACGTGGTCCCAGCTCATCCTCGGGGACACGGCGGGAGGTGGGGACAGAGGACACTCCTGGGTCAGCGCTGGGAGCCTCCATGATGTGGGAACTGCGTTCCATCGCCTTCAGCAGGGCGGTCTTGGCGGAATTTTTGGCCACTTTGGTCTTCGTCCTCTTCGGGCTGGGCTCGGCGCTCAACTGGCCATCAGCACCGGCGCCCAGCACGCTGCAGATCGCGCTGGCCTTCGGGCTGGCCATCGGCACGCTGGTGCAGTCCTTGGGCCACGTCAGCGGTGCCCACATCAACCCCGCCGTGACGCTGGGCTGCCTGCTGGGCTCGCAGCTCTCGCTGCTCCGAGCCCTGTTCTACGTGGCGGCGCAGCTGCTGGGTGGCGTGGTGGGTGCTGCCATCCTGCACGAGATCACCCCGGCTGACTCGCGCCAGGGACTGGCCATCAACAAGGTGAGGCCACGGAGGGAGAGGGGATGGTGGCCAGGGGGGTTGGGAAGGGTGAGGGGATGGAGG